CCACTGGGACGTTATGTTTAGAAAATAAACGTCTCAGTGGCTTTTAAACCCCAAAATACATTAAAGACTGGTTCATCCCAAAGATCCAGTCCCCCGGCACAAACAGAGCAATGTTGTGTATGTTGTTCAGTGTCAGGAGGGTGATCAGTCTTACATCGGGGAAACAAAACAGCCACTGGCCAAAAGGATGGACCAGCACAGAAGATCAACATCATCAGGCCAGGACTCTGAGGTCTACACTCATCTCCAGGTCAGAGGTCACTCTTTCAGGGATGAAGATGTTCACATCCTGGATAGAGAGGAACGATGGTTTGAGAGAGGAGTAAAGGAGGCCATCTTTGTGAAAAGAAACCGTCCATCATTAAACAGGGGTGGAGCCTCCAGGTTCAACTGTCCCCCTCTTACAATGCTGTGATTGCTAGTATCACTCAGCCCTCTGTGAACAGTAAACAGCCATCAGGTGCTAATGATCCATTGTTAGGCTGATGGTCCTTCTTGAGCATGTGATCAGCTGGTTCTGGTTGATCCACTCTGAGAAGGTGCTATTTAAGAGACTGAGCTGAATACAGCACCTCAGACTGAGGAAGTCCTCAGGATGAGAGACGAAACATTTCTATATTGTTTTGCTTTGTTTTGTTTTTTCAATGTCCAGAGGACCACATTGAACTTTTTTGGATCTTAACATATTGTTATTTATTTACATGTGTTTATCCAAAATGACTGATTTGTACCCTCTGGGTGCCAAAGTGTCAGAACTTCAGTAGTGGTTAATTTTATTTCTAACAACGTCCACTAGATGTCCAGCTTGTTTGATTCTGAACCAACATTTATGTTTACAGGTAAAAAACATGTGAGTTCTAATACCACAAAGAAATCAGACAATAAGTCCTGAACCAGCAACATCTTTAGCTGCTCTGACATGTTCATGTGTGTAAAATAAAACTGCGCTTGTCAAGTTTTCAAGTAATGTATCCACTGAAGCTAACACTTTTTCTACATGCAACATCCATCCATCCATTATCTTTTACCTGCTTCTTCCATTTTGGGTCACAGGGGTCTCTGGTGCCCATGTCCAGCAATCACAGTGTGAGGGGCGGGGGACACCTGGACTGGCCGCAAGTCTATTTCTCAACCAATTTTAGCAAAGGTGGCATCATTTTGTGTATCATTTAACCTGCATGTTAAAAAGAACTTGGCCCTGAGGAGGGCGAGAAAACACCTGAGGAATGGAGAAGAAGTGTGCTGGTGCCCATTTTTAAGAACAAGGGTGATGTACAGAGTTGTAATAATTAAGTTGATGATGAGTCACACAGTCAGACAAAGAGGGATTCAGAAGACTTTTATCTGCTGCTTGAATCGCCACCTTATCATGGTGGAGGAGTTTGTGCACCTGAATGATCCTAGGAGCTGTGCTGTAATTGCCCCTGGTAGGGTCTCCCAAGGCAGAATGGTCCTAGGTGACAGGCCAGACATGAGCCATTCAGAAGACATTTAAGCCTCTTTTCCAGATTCCAGAGTACCTGTTATTACTGGAACAGCACGGTTCGACTCGGCTCGGTACACGCTGCGTTTCCATAATGTTTCAGTACCAGATCCAGTGGGCGAGGTTCAAATTGACGTCATGCGCCTCACCGGCTGGTGGCAGTAAGACCCTGAAACAGGCTTCAGTACAGGGTGAGAATTTAGTTTGAAGTTTCTGGTCAATTAAGAGGAAAATAGATTATTAAAATGATCAAATTAAAATATGTATATGTGTATATATACATGTGTATATACTGTATATGTATATCAACAAAGTCCATGCTCAATAATCCAGGTATACAATCCTTCAGTCAGGTCATCTGGACAGTTTCTTTTTTTTTGTGCTGAAACGTTTCACCTTCCATCCAGAAGGCTTCATCAGTCAAGGAAACACACAACACAAAACTGATTCTTCCCCCAACAACTTACTCCAAAGTGGAACAAACCAGTTATGTTGGTGCTAAGATAATGTCTTTGGCACGCCCTCTTCCTTAGGGGTACCTGGGGGGGTTCACCTGGACAATAAACTGGACTGGACAGCTAACACCAACGCTCTCTACAAGAAAGAGTGGCAGAGTCGCCTTTTTCTTCTGAGGAGACTCAGGTCCTTTAATGTCTGCAGGACCATCCTGCAGATGTTTTACCACTCGGTGGTCTCCAGCATCATCTTCTACACTGTGGTGTGCTGGCGCAGCAGGTGAAGAAAGCTGATGCCAAGACTCGATAAACTCGTGAACAGAGCTGGTTCAGTTCTGGGAGTGGACCTGCAGCCTCTGACAGACGAGTCTGAGTACGACTGGCCATCGTGGACAAAAGAAGGACGTACAGACCCGCGCGCGTGAACCTGCTCCAGATCCTGAACATCACGTCACCCCCCCTGCATGACACCCTGGACTCGTACCGCAGCACCTCCAGTCGTAGACTGAGACCACGAGGTGCTCCACAGAACAACACAGGAAGTCCTTCAAACTGTTCAACTCCACCCCCTTTCTACACAATAAAATGAATCCTGCTCCACACTTGAATGTTTCTGTCTTTGATGGTAGATGTGAAAGGTCACAGATGTTTTCCACTTATTAATGTCAAATGTATATGAAGCACGTGTTGAGTTGTTTCGTGTGGACAGAGTGCTGCAGAAGGATGAAACACCCGAGGCCTAAGCTGGAAGGCAGAGCCTCTGACAACGTTATTAACAGACAGTGCCTAATGTTCACGGTGAGCAGACTTGGAGACGAGGCCACATGTAAACATCTTGATGCTGGGAGCTCAACTCTGTTCCATCTTGCAACATTAAACCCTGGGAAGAAAATATCTTCTCCTCTCCTGTGAGACATATTTATTTAATCAGCGGAAGGGATGATCTTAAATTATCCTAAGATTCTGCAGCTGACCTGTTTTAGAACTTAATTGTTGATATTTTTATATTCTCAGTTATTTTTTACATCTCGTGTGATTCCTTGTGTTTGTTCCTTTGTATGGAAACTCTGGCACAACAATTTCCTGGATCAACCAAGATCTATCTTATCTTAGAGAGGACACACTGAGATGGTTTGGACATGTCCAGAGGAGGGACAGTGGTTTGGACATGTCCAGAGAGACAGTGGTTTGGACATGTCCAGAGGAGAGACAGTGGTTTGGA